TGCATTTTATCTTGGTTTATTGTTTTTGCAACATTTTTTTAGGTCCAAGTCTAAACATACAATTAAAAAAAAGCTCTTTTATAACATATATTTTGCTAAAGAACGTACTAAGCATCGACAATAATACTGTGTGAGGGGCTGAACGTGCTTGTCTGTGTACTGTACTGTACATCTGATGGTATTTTTATCAGCTGAGAACTTGTGAAGATCTTAGATGAGGTGTAAATGAGTCAAAACAGTGCCAGGAATTCCTTAGTCACACTCACCAACATGAGATCTCCTGCGAGGAGATGTGTTTTCAACAGCTGTATTGAACTGTAAATGGGCAACTACTCAAGTATGAGGAGAAAAAAAACACATCTGTGCTTGAGCTTTCTGTTTTGGTTGCGTCTTTTGAGATCATACCTTGTTTTCGGTTCCTTTAGCTGTTTTTGGTATGTGTTGCATTTCTGTTGGAGTCAAATCACACAGAAGTGCACTCAAAAATGACATTTGCTGCTTGTTTATACCACTTACTGTATACAAATTGAGCTGAAACATCCCAATTTTTAAGTTGTTCTGGTGGGATAACTTGATTGTTTTATGTTCAATGCACTTAAATTTTGTAAAAACTAATAAGTTAGCCTACTGTTATTCCTACATGCTGTCTCAATACTAATTGATTGAGTGGTAGCCAGTATTTGTTTACAGTGTGTGTTTGAAAGTGAAACAAGACCCAATGCTTATTTGATCCACACCAAAAATGGAATGACACAATGTACAATCATACCAGACTTTGTTTTGGCTAAATCTGTAAACTCACCTCAAATTACAGAATGTTTATTTTTGGGTCAAATACAATTTTAGGGGTTTATTTGTTCTTGTCTGACGGATGTATGACCAGTAGTGGATCTAAATAATTCAAATTTAAAGAATGTAAATGATACATTTAAACTAGGGCTGCAAGTAATAAAAAAAATAAGTGATATCGATTCAACCTCCCACACTTCTTAATCCAGCATTTCTACAATTCAGCCAATTATATTTTCAAGTTCAGGAGAGAAGCATAAGGGCGGTCCCACAAATCTTTACATTGTTTTATATACGTTGCCCAGTGTTGGAATAGCCAATTCCATGCACATTTTCTTCAATGCCAAAAATATTAGTATAGATACAAATGAATGATTCGATAAATTTCCCTGACTGCCTGATTTATACACAACTAATATTAAAAGGTGGAGTTTTGGTAGAATTTGTCACTTGTCAATCATTCTGCAGTCCTCTGGCACCTGCACCCAAACATACTTCCTCTTTCTGCAAAATTCTCTGCTCACATATGCTTAAGTTATTATCAGATAAGGCATGCTCTGCAACATTCTGTCTTCACCCTTTTAAGCACATCTCATTGTATAGGAGAGCTAAATAAGAAAGTTATTTTCATATATCAATGTTGCTTTATCTTACCAGTAAGCTTTATCTACTTCTGCAACAATGTTTCATTAGTACTGTATGCAAAGCATATCACACTCAGATAATAAGTTGGGTTAATTTATTACCTAAGCAATACAAATATTTAATGACAAGAAAAAAAAGACAAAATTAATAAAAAATAAATTCCTCTTTCACAGCGTGTGGTTTATTTATAAACTAATTTCGAGAGGATCACGTGTTTATGATCAACATGGCTGGCACCTTACTAGCTCCTTAATTTGCCCTAATATATGATTACTAAAGCATTATAAGTAACCAGAGTTTTTCACTCCAGTTATCTTCGTCTTTTAGCCTCCCCTCTTTCACCCCTACACCCTTTTTTCAGATAGAGCGACACAGTGGCCCAGTGGCTAGCACTGTTGCCTCACAGCAAGAACACCGCTGGTCAAACCTCCTATCCAGCCGGCTGGCATTTCTGTGCAGTTTTCATGTTCTCCCTGTGTTCGCGTGGGTTTCCCCCCGGGTTCCCCGGTTTCCTCCCACTGTCCAAAAACATACACCATAGCCACTCGACTAATCCAAATTGTCACCCAAGACAACCTTAGTTTACACTTCTCACACTACGACCTACCTTAGTTTGAACTCTTCTCTCGCCCTTGTAATGGGAGGGAGCCCCGGGCTTGGGGATATAATGAGCTCAGGGCTCTCTCCCGAGACAGCATGCCACTTACACTTTATTGATTGTTAGCTAAGTGTGAACTCTTGAAACCAGCAACTTGGACACCTCTAAATGGTGTTGAAAGACTCACATACTGTATTTATAAGGTATAGTTCACCCAAAAATGTAATTTCTGTCTTTATGTAATGACGTATTCACAGCTGCAACATCACATGTGAGCTGACTCTGAGCTGTTTGTTTACCAGAGTAGGCGCATGTGCCTTAAGGCTGATTTATACTTCTGCGTCAAACGCCGGCATATGCTACGGCGCTGACGCATAGCCCTTCGCCGTGGTCATCAGCGTCACTGACGTGCACCTCTCAAAAAATGTAACTACACGTCGCAACGACGCGTAGCGCAAGCTCTGTGATTGGTCGGCTTGGTATCGCTGATGAGTCTGGGCGGGACCGAGAGCCGCGCAAATGGCGCGAGCGATTGTTTACAAGTGTGGAGTCCCGTCAAGGAGCTCCGGATAGATAGTTTTGTTTTGTGTTTACCTGATAGTTAAAGTTGTTGCACGTCCGCCGGTTTCTGCCTCAAAATAAGCGAGTTTGAGCCACTTGTACATCCCGGAAGTGTTCAGTAAACGCAAAAACGCAGCGAAGAAACTTGACACAGAGGAAAATTTACACTTCACTGCCAACTAGCGTTTCGGAAGTGTTAATGCAGACCGACAGAGACAGCGCGCAGAAGTATAAATGCACAGCCACGCGCGTTGCATGCGCCGTGGGTTACGCCGGTCAATTGACGCAGAAGTATAAATCAGGCTTTAGAACGACTTTAGTCAACAGTACCTGCATAGGCTTTAAATAACAGGCTATAAAGTTGTAAATAAAGTTCGATTTGCACAGAGTGAACGTTTGAACATATAATTATGCATCTATGTTTTTTTTTCTCTCGAAGTAAGGGCATCCTTGACAAAAGTGCGCTTTGCAGATAAAATGAAACCAAAACCTTGTAATCTGATGAAATCATTTTACTGTGCATTAACTACCAGCACAAATTGAAAGTTTATTCAAGTCCACCATTCCAAGTCTACACAAAGTTTAGCATTTTACATATCTACAACTAGAACTAATATTATTGTTTTTTAACCATATGTTTGGGAAATAACAATAATAATAATCTACTTGTATTAACCTTTATTTTACATCTAAAGAATCATGAGAATATTGTGATCTTGATTTTAAGCAAAAAAAAAAAAAAATGTTTCTCGCTTTAGCCAGAATCGTGCAGCCCTAATTTAAACAGTGTATTGTTATTATTTGAGATCTGTTTATAATTAAAAGTACTTTTATTGCAACATGTCCATGATGAACTACACCCATTGTTACTTTATGAGAGCACTTGTATGACCTTAAAAGCAAATGGCTTAATACTTCCAATAAAAATAAAACCTTCACTCTTTTAAAAATGATTTTCATGAAGAACCTCTTAACATCACTAAAACCTTTCCATTAATCAACGTATTCTTTAGGTGGAAAAAGCTTCTTAGGGAAATGAAGCCACCTTTTTGTTTGCAGACGTCACTTGGTTTAATATTTTATCACTCAAAAAACAAAAAACAAAAAAAAAAGATGTTTGCTGATTGTTCAAACAACTTATCTAAAATGTTCTCAATTCTTGAGGTTTTTGTTTGAAAAGCTTAATTGTTTTATGCTCAATCCACTTAAATTTGGAAAGACTAGTAATAAGTTAACTTAATTCCTGCATGTTGACCCAACGCAAATCAATAATGTGGAACCCATCATTGTTTACAGTGGCTCATGAGTAGGGCCAGACAAAATCTCCAGACATTGTTTGCTATTGCTACAGAGAAGTAAAAAGTCTGCAGATTTATCTGGAATTGGTTTGGGAGTATCATAACTAAAAACTTAATATATGATATAAAAAATAATAGCTTTTTAACTTTAATTATTGCTTACAATGCAAATCCATCTAGATCCACTTATTTGCTAAACAAAGCAAGTGTTTCATATAATATATCTACTGAAAGACATTATAATATTACATTATAAGAAAATATTACTTTACAAACTGTATTGTAATTAAATCAAATAAACATATCCTCATTAGTCAATATTATTGCTGAAATAAATGTAAAAAATGGAATAAATATAAATGTAAACACAGTTTACACAAGTAAATAAATAGGAAATCTGCGGATTTCTGTTCGCTCAGATGCCGTGTGGACCTACTCATGAGTATGTTTGCTTTTTTTACCTTTTTTATGTACGTGTAAATGTGAAGACAGAAGTGTTTCTGTATATCTTCAAGATCTAGATGTCGCCACTAACCCCTCCCCTCCCCAAGTTATGTTTTAATTACAGTTAAGTAACCTACTGAAAAATATTAAGCTTATATGAGATTAAAAAAGGATTGACATTAAAGTCCTGCTTTTAACGTTTCCCAAAAAAGGGAGCTGAGGCAATTGAGAGACTGATATCTATTAATAATGCGAAAACTATATTACATCGTCATGATTAAACGACTGTCTGCTAGGTGCAAATTTAATTTCATGTGTTAATTGAGCTGAGCTTCATTCCGGTCGGCTGAATTGAGTGATGCTCAGAAGCTTCTAATTTGGAGTATCAAAGATCAGCGATCATAATATGATTTGAAACCGACTCTGCCGTAACCCCTCTGAACATAGCTCCACAAAACCCGATTGAACGTTCCATTTTGATCACGAAGATCACTGTGTGCGGGGATTGTGAATTTTGGGAAATAAACAGCCCCTTATTGCTCGCTGACCAGCGTTTTCACACCCCTTTCTGCATGTCTTTGTTATCTTTTCCCTTCTTTTAGGGAATTCATTATGTTAATAATATATAAATGTCCTCTTTTCCTTCTCCTTTTCTTTTCCTGTAGCAATTATTGAACCCACAACAACTAGTGCTGTCTCAAGTCCAGGTCAGTATATGTTACATGCTGTATACGCAGCTCAGTAAGGAATCCAAAATGCTGCACTAACCAAGAAAAAAAAAATGACCTCTTCCTCATTGCAATTTCTCCTTCTCTCGATTGGCCAGGATGCCTGCTGGCGTTCAGCTTTGTGTGTCGTCACTTTATTTATTTCATTTTTTTCTAGGGCTGTCAATCGGTTCATTTTTTTAGAATCACATTTATTACATGCCAGTTAATTAATCACATGCTCAATTTGTATCCATAATTCTGCTCCAAAAATGTAATTAAGAACTTAAACTATTTCATCCTTTTACATATTGTGTTTATGCATATTTTAATACTAGCAGCACTGTTTGGTATGCATGTTATTAAAACTAAATGTATTTGCAGTTTGTGATATATGTTAAAACTAACTGCTCCCTCCATTAAATATTTGAGTCAGTCCAAGTGATCTTGTTTGAACTAAATCATTGAGTCAATGAGAACTTTAATCTGGATTATTTTGATTCTGCTTGACTGACAGAATTGGTTCTCCGTTTATGGAGCTGTTTTTGAGCCAACGATTCAGGATTGTGTTTCCCAAAAGTGTCATTTGCTGAAACCATATTACAAACTCTTACAAACAGTTTTGTAAACTTGTGTGGTTCGAACTTGGAACTACAAATGTGTCAATTCTTCATTCTGTAATTTTTTTTTTATCCTATTTAAAGCTGCAGTATGACTTTTTTGCTTAAAGGGATAGTTCACCCAAAGCTGTACATGCTGTCATCGTTTAATCACACTTTACTTGTCACAAACCTGTTTAAGTTTCATCTATTGAACATAAAATAAGATATTTTGAAAAATGCTGGAAACCTGTAACCATTGACTTCCATTTTACCTGTTTTTCCTGCTGTGGAAGTCAAGGTTACATGTTTCTAACATGCTTCAAAATATCTTCTTGTTCAACAGAAAAAAAAAGAAACTCAAAAGGGAACCAATTGTCAGAGAGTAAATACTGAGTGAATTTTCATTTTTATGTGAACGATCCCTTTAAAAAGAAACAGAAATTAGTTGAGCAATTCATGTACATATCGTACCAGTATCAGCAATGGTCAGTTTATAATAATGATGTAGAATTTGAATTGTTTACTTTCATATCCATCAACAGAATATATGTTTTTTTTAATCTAGATTAATACTTTCCAAACCTGTCCTGGGCTGAGGAGAGTTAAAGACTGATGAAAGGATGTTAAAAATTTAAAAAAAATAATGGCTAACTAACTTTAAAGGGCACCTATTTTACCCCTTTTTCCAAAGTCTTTTGTGTCTCCAGAATGTGTCTGTAAAGTTTCTACTCGAATTACCCAGATTATCTATTATACCTTTTTAAATCTAGAAAATTTAAGCTGTTGGGACATTGTAGCTGTTTTTGTTGCCTGTGCCTTTAATGCAAATGAGCTAGTTCTTCCCGCCCACCATTCCCACGTGCGTGTCAAAGCCAAAGAGAGCCAACCTTCACCTGCTGCATCTCACACAGATAAAGAGCACAGTGCAAAAAACAAGAATGAAGCAGATTTCCCTTACAGTAAGAAAGAACTTTCCCAACTGGTAGTTGTTGTGAAGTTTATTCAAGCTTTTTTTTGCAACAATCAATTTGTTGAACAAAACACTCCTACATCACGGTGAGGTGGGCCTCAGATTTGCAGGGATTTGTATCCTATTTTAATGTCAGGGAATTTAAAAAACATTGTGTTTCTATCACTCAAAATTACTGTGGACTCATTATACCTACATACAGTTCTTGTCAAACAGCTTTGAAAAGTAGATTTTCATGTAGATGCCCTTTAACACACTTGTTCATTTAATCAAGATAAGCATACATTTTCCTTTTTTTTTATTTTTATTTTTTTATTTTTTGGGGTCAGGTGTGAAATACATTTTCTGTTACCAATTTGAAAAAGCAAATGTGGTCTATAAATAGGAAACAGATTCATCAGAGAACTGTGTCAAAACCATGTGAAAAAGGAATGGCTTTACTATTTCAAACAGAAATGGCGACAGAGAGACAAAAGTTCCATACTGCAGCTGTAAATATACTATATATACATAAATACTGTATGTGCCTATATAAATATGTATGTTAACCCTTTGACTGCCACACCAAGAACAAAAAATCCTAATGCATTTTTTTAACTCTAATTAATTAATTAGAGTTAATTTCTAAAACATCAGCCTCTACCAAATGGTAGGTATGTCGGTTTATGATAAAAGTACCAGAATTAATACATAATGTATGCTATGAAAAATCTGAAAATATGAAGTGTAAGACCAATTTAATTAAAAACAAATTCAAAATAAATAAAAAATTTGAATACTAAATTATCTTTATTTTTTGAAGTATGACATAAAATATTTTAGATTCTCATTTAACAAGTTTTGTTGTTGTTGTTGTTGTTTTTTACAATAAAACCAATATCAAGTGCAGTACTGTTGTTGTTTTGTTTTTGTTTTTTTTGTAAAGTCATTTTTTAAATGACTAACAGTCTTTATTTAAAGCAGTCAAAATACAGTCAACCATTTGGTAGAGCAAGCAGTTAAAAGGTTAAGTTTATATATTTTGGTATGTCAACAGATTTATTTTATTTTTTTAAATACAAATACTTTTTTATTAAGAGCTTTTTTTTTACCATTTTATGGGAAACATACTCCATAACTTGCTTATGAATCAGTTCAATTAAGTCATAAAATATCCAAAGCCAGGCAAACACTACAGGAATTTTAGGCTATTTTTGTTGTCCAGGACCGTTTTCACCTTTTGGTGAAGCTTTTCTAGATCTCCTGATTTGCTTGCAAAAACATCTATACTGCTTCAATAATATCAAACATTTTTGATATTTTGGATTTTAAATTGCGATGAAGGCTGCACAGTTGCTTAATGATTAGCCTCACAGCAAGAAGTTCTCTAGTTCGAGTACCAGCTGAGCCAGTTGGCATTTCTGTGTGGAGTTTGCATGTTTTTCCCATGTTCTCATGGGTTTCCTCCAGGTTCTACAAGAAAGACTTTTTAGGAGGCAGACAACCGTTTAACATTTATTGTGAATTGTTTAGATAAATATAAATTCATTACTATCATTTCATAAATTCCTTTGGCGTTAGCCCCGTCCATGGTGCAGAACTCTGGATGAGCTAGCAGATCCTGCCTGAAGATGAAGGCAGGGTGAAACCAACCCCAGAGTGGAGACGAGGTTGACCCGATGGTGGTGGAGAGGATGGAGGGAAATTTCTGCAATGTCATCTGAATACAGCGAAACAGATTGTTTAGATGGCCTGATGAGATATTTATTATGAATGACATGACATACCAGTCTTCCTGGCAGAACTATCCCTAAAGCTTTCATATCCCCCACAGTCCAAACAAATGCGCTATAGGTGAATTGAATACTAATTACTAATACTAATAAACAAAATTTTTCATAGCGTGTGTGTGTGTGTGTGTGTGTGTGTGTGTGTAAATGATTATGGGTGTTTCCCAGTCCTGGGTTGCAGCTGGAAGGGCATTCGCTGTGTAAAATATACAGTATGCCAGACTAGTTGGCCTTCATTCCGCTGAGGCGAACTTTAAAATAGAGACTAAGCCGAAGGAAAATGAATGAATTGCAATGATGTGTTTACATAAGTAATTTCACAATAGGTAATGCACATTTGGGCGTGTTGGACAGGGCAAATAAAGAAACTGATTGCGAAAGTTATATATATAATTTGTCTTGGAAAATGTATAACAGTGTTAGGAATAAAGAGTAGCATTGGGGGGAAATTGCTTCAGTTCAGGAGAATGTAGAAAGCAAAACATAAATGTACGTAATTCCTTTTTAAATGTCAATGACAATCTGCTGCGGTAGATCAGGTGAGGTGCTCCCTCTGGCCTGATAATCTTAATATCTTGTAGTTTGTTATATGCCACACACGTGTGATATTTTCAGACTGCGTAGTCTGTGTGTGCGAATGTGATTGAAAATCTGCCTTATATTTGAGCGTGTGTAAAAGATTTCGCAAATGATTAAGGGTCTAAAAACTCCTGTAGTGTGAGCCCAGCTTTATTCACACAAAAGATATGCTATAGAGAAAAAACATCACCAACAAGTGTTATCAAGACAGACGTGTTGGGGCTCATGATGTGTTGGTCCCCATCCACGCGGCGAAAACGAATCACTTTAAATAAATGCTAAAACTGCTAAATTGACAGCCCTAATTTTTTAACTTTGTGTTTCTTTGTGTTTTGTTTCTTTAACTTGTGGCATTGCACAGTACAGCACTGACACCCCTCTGAGCGAGCACTGTGGCGTTATGGTGGGCACTGTCATGTGTTTAGCGCTGGGGCGAGTGGCTTTCCTAAACGCTCACTGCTTCTCTCTGGCTTCCTCATTCTCTGCTTTAGTGCGGGCTGCATGAAGGGCAGGATATTGATAACACGCCGCCTCGACTTCTCTCTTTTATTTGTTGTCTGCCATTTTCTCTCCTCCTGAGCAGCAACTGATTCCGCCGTCTCTGAACGTGTCTCACTATCTATGGCGTCGCTGTGTTTTCACTGTTGTGCTCCTTACTGAAATCACAGACCATGATATTCTCTTTCTGGGGGAGTGTGGAGGGTGTGTGTAATGAGCTGTGTGTTTTAAAGGGGTAGTTCACACAAAAATTGCAATTCTGTCATTTTTTTACTCCTCTATGTTGTTTAAAACAAAAACAAAACAAAAAACATGATGTTTTGTGTTTTTGTAATGCAAAAAATAAATGAATTCACACTAGTGGTTTTTGGATGGTGTCCAGAACTTCGCACCTGGCTTGCTAAGAGCTTTTGTTTCAGAAGTTGGCACATGTTTTCCCTTTGATTGTTTTGAGGGATTAAAACTGTTACAATGTTGCAGGTTCTTGATGGTTTGGTTCTTTTTTACAAAGCAAAGAAAATGACAAAGCATGAATCGAGCCTTTGTTTGTATTTGTATTCATGTTGGACAGTTGTTCTGAAA